AAGAGTTGTGTGGTGTGTGTGTTTTTTTTTTTTTTAAAGGAAGATATCTCCTTTGGACAGTTTCTTTCTGTGGATGTGAGGGGGAGGTATGAACCCTTTAGGACAGTGGTGCTGGTTTTAGTCTAGATTACCTGTGTATATAGTTTACTGCTGTCAAATATGCTGTTTTCCTACCTATTATTTCCTATCAGCCACTGTTAAGCTGCTGATGCTTTCCCTGCAGTTTTCTACCTCCACTGCATATGCCAAAGCCTTGCTCACTCTTTCTAAGCTAACAAGTGTCCTGTCATGCTGCTCTTGTCCTCCACACTTCCACTATTTTCTTCACATTTCCCTTTTTCCCCATCCCATGTGCCTTCCATAAAGTTATTTCTCAGAGCTTCTCCATCAGCTACCTTTTTATACCAAAGCAGTTGCTAATGTGAGCCAACTTTTCAGAATTCTGTCTGTTCTGGGCATCTCACTTGCCTTATTAATTTTAAGGCTACCATGGACCATTGCAACCTTCTAGTCTGCTCTGCACAGCAGAGATCAGAGTGCTTTCTTTCCCCCTGAAACTGTGTCATGCTTTGGTGCCTGTTTGAAATGCCACTGAGTCTGCCAGCAGCTGTGGGCTCAGTGAAGAGTTCAGTGGGTGAGTTTTCCTTGTCTAAATGTAAAATTGTGCGTCTGAGGTTCATAAGTTCTTTTTCTGCCTCTGCATTTGTAAGTACTTTCTTGTGTAAATACTTAAGATACTGTGATCAAGTTCTCTAAGTGTTGCTATTCAATTATTTCCTAAATATCCCTCTACCTACTACGTTGCTTGTTGCCAGCTTTGTCCTCTTTACCTGTTCTATTTGCCGTCCTGGTGTTTTGCCACCATCCCTATTCTTCCCTTGTTCTGCTTTTTATTTCTTGCGCTTTCTCTATGTTGTCTGCCTTTAGCTGCAGTCAGCGTTTTGGGGTGACAATTACTGCAAGGACCCCAAGTAACTGTTGCCACTCCTGGATACAGCTGGCTGGCCACACTAGCTGCACTGCAGTCTTTTTGTACTCACCGTTTACTGATTCAGCTTTGCATTATCTCAGGCTCCATCTTGATGCTGTATTTGTAATGCAGGCTTCTCTATTAAGGCGATATAGCAGTTGGCAAGGATAATGCTGCATGGAGCTCAAACATGATGCAGGAAATGCCCCCACAGAAACTAAAGACTTCCCTTTAAATGCACTTAATCTGTTTTCTATACACTGTACAGTGTATTTTTCATATTGATTATACTGGCTGTTGTGCTTTGGATATACAGTATACTCTTTGTTATTTTTAGATTAAATATATCCATGAGACTTAACCATTAGCCACACATTCTTAATTTGTTATGTACCTGTAAATACTGTTTTCAAATATTTGATGCCTATCTTCCTTGAAAAATTCTGTAGGATGTCGTATGGATAATCTGGAGGAGTGATCAAAGGACTAATGTACTTCTGGTCATGATTTTCCAGTACCTTATCAGTACCATTCCAGTAGCTGGATTTCCTTTGAATTATATTCATTAAAGAGCAGTCAGATTGCACTCCAAAACAGATCTTTAACTTGTGACTCTCATACCTCTCTTAAAATGCTTTCTACCAAAACAGTGCGATTTAAGCTCTTTTGAATTAGAGGCTTCTATTCTTATTTTGGGAAGTGGTGGATGTGATAATTCCACAGGACAAGAAGTTTTGGTTTTGGCACTTTACTGCTGTGGAATTTTTAAAATTTTTTAAAAATTAATTTGATTTTTCCTGAGGTCCCGTTCCAGCATGCACTTTTTGTTTTTAATTGTTTAGATTGTAGGCATTTCAGTAGTCTTATCAGCAACTGAATAATTTCAGTTTCATCTTGTTCATCTTGTGGGACAGGAATTACAAAATAGTGCTGTCTGGATTTCAGGTGCTCATATCAGTGGTTTTGTAACTGACTAAATTTGAAAACTTTCTCAATAAGCTGTATGGTACTTTCTTAGATGGCTTAAGACCCCTCAGTTAAAAATTCTGGCTTCTTTCCCCTCCTAGGAGGTGTGTGTGTGTATGTGTGCACACCAGAACAAACATGCAAAGAGTTTGGGCTGAAGTGCTGAAACCTGACATAAACCTAGTCCTAAAAGAATAGGTAGCTTTATTCCCCTGAAAATGTGTTTTGCTCTGAGTAATGCGCTTTGAAAGCTGAAGTCTAGATATACTTCCCTTTTTAGAGAGTCTTTCTCTTTCTGAATGGAAAGAGATGTGTTGGATGCTGGGATTCAGCCAGCCTTACTGTATTTTGAGAAGGAATTTATTAAAGAATTCTTCCCATTTCAGTAACTTTTAAGGAAAAATAATTACCTCATCTGGGATGCACAGGTTTTTTCCATGCTTTTGTTCTTTTAAGTGTGCTATATTCTTTGCAGTGCTACATGTATAGTAAGAGCTTGACATAAACTTCCCGAATCATTTGGTTACAAGTGTGGCAGCTATGTCTGTTGAAGAAGCTAGAGGCTTCTTGTACAGGCCACAATTCAGTAGGAGAGCCACTCTAAAATTATATTTCCTGAAAGTATTGGGTTCCCCTGAGTAGCCTTGATTGCACTGTGTAACACTTTTACATATACTCCAGGTATGATGGACATGGATGCCCAAGTTAACATAGGTGGATGACTAAAACCAGGAATTGTCTGGAACTAACAATGCTGTCAACATGAAAAGGTAGCAAAGACAGTTGGCAATCTCTGGTCAGTATAGATGTATCTGTCTGCCATCACACTTTCTGCCCAGAAGATTTTCAGTTTTACATGAGGCTGTAAGGCTTTTTCTGTGGTGGGTATTTGAGCTAATTCCCTGCTGTACTGGGATTTAGCTAAACACTGCACTGGGATCATTTTTAGTATCTTTTCCAGGATTATTTCTGAGTTGTGGGTGTGGTGATTTTCTTGTTTGTTTTTTTTCTTGCTCTGTGAGGCAAGACTCCCCTAAATCTTATCTCTTCGTTAGTTTTTTTGAGTACTCTAAATGCCAGACTTGTCATGTGTGGCTTTGTGGAAAAGTAACGAGATGCGAGTTTGTCATGAGCAGCAATTTTCTCCCTCCTTCTCTCTGTCCAGGAAAAAAAAAAATCCAGAAAATCTTGCATGTAGTGGAAGTAGCCATACTAGGAGCCAGGCAGACAGGCTGAGGAAAGCTCCCTGAGGAAAATGAGGAACATCTCCATCTTCTTACATAATCTTTGTGCAAGAAAGGGGGAGGAAATGAGGTTATCCCAGATGTGGTGAGGAAAACCAATCAAATGAGAAACAAACAGCACACAGGTCTGGGGTTGATTTGTAGGAAAAGGCTAGTGGTTTTGTGTTGATCAGTAGGTGGGAAACTATCTCCAGTGGCTCAGGAAAGCAGCATCAAAGGGAGCTATTTCAAAAGAGTGGGAGATATGGATGAAAACCTTTTCCAAGGTAAATAGGTACTTTTTGGATGGTTAAGTTGGTGGCCTCCCAAGGTACCATAGGTACTAGAGCGGTAGGGGAGAAATCCATCATGCAGATAGAAACAGAGGAAATACGGTTTCAGCGTTCTCTAGAAAGTTAACTTGGAAAAGGGGTGTTGTATTCATCAGACTAAAGCATACCTTTGCTCTAGGAGTGGAGGAGTTGCTTCATGCCTTAGCCCACTTTGAGACATCTGAAATTTAGGGGATTCTTACCCCATGTGTTAAACTGAGATGCTAGAGCAACTAAGGAGGCTTGTAGTGTGTTAATATAACTCTCAGATCATTTTCAACTTAGCTGTCTTTTGTAATCGCTTCTAGTGATGTAGTTGAATACATAACCTCTTTGACGTGAACAGGATGTTTGAGAATTGAGGAGGATAAAAGTTTTCTGCAGGTGACTTATGATTCTGTGTAGGTCTCGACTCTTTTGTGCTCTCATCTGAAGAAAAGAATTTGAAGAAAGAAAAGTGCATGCAAAAGCAAACGTGCATACTTAAGGTCTTAGTGAACTGCTTTGGAAGGTGCATTTGAAAACCATCTCACTATTTTGCCTCTTCCTCTGTTTGAAAACTGTTCAGCTAGATTCGGTGAGACATGTTCACAGAATCACAGAATGGTTTAGGTTGGAAGGGACCTCTGGAGATCATCTAGTCCAACCTCCCTGCTCAAGCAGGGTCCTCTAGAGCATATTTCCCAGGATTGCATCCGGACGGGTTTTGAATATCTCCAGCGAAGGAGACTCCACTACCTCTCTGGGCAACCTGTGCCAGTGCTCAGTCACCCTCACAGTGAAGAAGTTTTTTCCTCATGTTCAGATGGACTTTCCTGTGTTTCACTTGGCACCCGTTACCTCTTGTCCTGTCACTGGGCACCACGGAGAAGAGTCTGGCCCC